TTTTACTTTCAACTTCTAAGTCAAAGGACTTTAAGGTATGCAGAACATACATGAGCATATAGGGGCACATCTGTGAATGTTGCCACTGGTAGATGAGGGCCTCTGCCCCAGAGGAGGAGCAGCTCCTCAGGTGGAGATTGAGGGACTCCTGTGCTGAAATAACTGAAAAACTGGAGTCAAGAGCCAAATGAGTCTGTCTGCAAGTGCAAAACACACCAGAGAGCAGATCTAGGTTTTGAAAGCACAAAACCAGTTTGAATATAGTAAGAGCACCTATGACACACTTTCTCATTTTCCTGCACTAAAAAGGAGAATGACCAACATTACCCAACAAACAAACTTTTTTTCCCACAATGTTCAAGAAGTGAAACTAGGCTGTTTTCGTAGACTCTCTGCTTTCAAACCTACCCTGAAATATTTAAAGTGGAAAAAGGTGTAAACTTGCGTTTATTAACAATGACTTGTCATGGGAAACTCATGTTTTTCTATACCAATCCTAGTGCTAACACCTTGTAACACCCTGAAGGGAATATAGCTATTTCCTGATAGTGATAAATGTAGATGCAGATATAATGGACTACTGAATGATGATAAATTTGCAAAGTATAATGCCTGAGCAGTCACTATCAGAACACAATAAAGAGAATATTCTAGCTCAGATGTACACAATTATTACAGGAAAAGGTCTTCTGCTTTTAGAAGTATTTTGTTAAGATTTGTTTTATCTTCCAGGAAAAAAAAAAAAAAAAGTAAACTGGGGTGAAAAAAAATGAATCCTCAAAAACTTTCCCTAAATAAACTATACTACAAAAGAAGCTCTGATGATCTCTCAGAGCTGGAAATAATCCATTTTCAGCTAAAACTACCCATAGCAATGAAACTGAAAATACTCTAAGAGAGGGCTGGAGACTGTCTTGCAATTAACATTAAACAGATAACATATTTACGAGGAAGTCAAAATATTTTGGAAGCCGATAATCCTGTAAGCCTTAACGTGGTATAAAAACAACAAATAAATGCAAAGTGTTGCTGTTACACATGCCTGCCTGATCAATGGTTTTCACATATTGATCTATAAATGGAGTTGACAGTCTGTGTTGGCTGCACATTTTCCAAGCAGCTCTATTTTTGTACAAAACCAATACGGGCAATTACCTTTGTTTGAGATGCCAAGTCTTATCAATTCAATGTGATTTAGTGTCATTTTAATTAAATATCAGGATCTACTTCAGGACAATCTATAAAAACAAAGCCTCAAACTTAACTATAAGCTTCATTTGAAGTAAACATGTACAAGCCCTGCAATTTCAAAAAATGGCTCCAAAACTCTGTTAAACAGAAGGCTTATATTTTTAGGCATTTTATTTCTGTCTTTTTGGCTAGCCATAACTTTGGCAAGTGTTCTATGATCACAAGAGTAAAAAACAAAAGAAGATTGCTTCCTGTTTCCTTGATAATGTATTAGAGAGATAAATAAACGTACCCATTTGTTTAACCTAATCAGAAAAAAGCTCTAATACATTAACATTTTGGAGTGTCTAAATAGGTTCTAATTCTTAATATAGACACCAATAAAGGAAGACATTTCATTGTTTGAAGTTGTTCTGAATGAAGCAAAATGCACTTTCGTGGGTTTTAACAGATGAAAATAACAAATATTCATTTACATTGCTAGTTCAGACACTAACATTAAACACAGAAAGAGCCCTCGCTTACCAGTCTGTGTCCAGCTTAGTGATTTGTGCTCTTTAAACTCTACATTTGTATCAATTTCAGCCTTTGCACAAAGCTGAAGCATTCCCATTGAAATAAATAACATAAACCCCCAAGAATCTACATTTAGCTCTTGCATCAGTTACCTTATGCATTCCACATTTGCATCTTCACTATTATAAAATGCACGACTGAATGTGGACCTACTGATGTATGATGCATATCCTTCTTTGTCACCCTATAGAAAATAATCTGTCCATCTTCAAAACTATAACCCCAGGTGTGCTTACAAGCACCACAGCAAACAGAGAATGCAAAAATATCCTTTAGAGAAAATTATGTATTTTCTTCTCTATAAATCACCAGTCACCCTTCTAGTTTTGTGCCTGGTTTTTCCCCTTTCTTGTCCAGAGTGATTTTTTTTCCCCAAAAAATATATTTTAGAAATGTATTTTTTCTACTGATATTTTAAAGTGTGCCAGATGCTGATTGCCTTAATCCACTGAAGTCAGTAGATTTTGCACAAGTTGAGTAAAAAGGATTTGACCCATATATTAATAGAGCATAATTCATATGCCAAAACATGGATGGCAAAAGAGTAATATCTATATAAAAGAGCTATATCTTGTTTTTTAAAAGAAATATCTCTTCAATGACAGGACAAAAATATTCAGTCAATGCAAAATAGAAAACAAACATAATCAGTGGATAACTTGTAGATTATATCCATCACTGAAACAGAGGCAGACTGCTGCAAACAGTAAATTTACAAATAGAAATATCACAATAAATCCTTTTTATTTTCTAGCACAAAATAAATTAGCTCTGTTTAACACACTGGTAATAAGGATCAGTGTGCCTTTAAGTTTAAAACTGAAGACTCTGTATATGAGTGCCCCAGAAAAGAACAGCACGAGTTTTAAAACAAGATTAATAAATGTACATATATACATATATATGAGCGTGTGTGTGCTTATCAGTTGGACCTTGCTTTTTCAAGACACTTGGACAGAGTACCTTCTTCCATTACTTTCCTCAAAATCCTTCATGAGTCACATGCACAGATTCAGATATGTCGGCATGCAATTGCTACAAGCAACTAATATTTCACTGGTCTTTTAACTTGAATCTCACTGCATTTAAAGAACGTATTTGAAAATGTTTGGATCCTTAGGAATTTTGCATTTAGTTTGGGCATTAGCAAACAACTTTAAGAAGCTTATTTAAGTAAATATGCCAAAACACTTTCAGTCTGTCAGTATCTAGTCAGAAAATTCTACATGGTAAAAAGAGATTAAAAGAATTGAAATAGAAAGGAAATTAGTAGCATGGCAGGATCTCAATCCATTATGTCAGAGCCAAGTTTGCTTGGTAAAATGACATATACTCAGTAAAATTCCACTTTTATATAATTAGCTACTAAACAAATGCAACACAAAGCAACTTTTCAGTTCTCAGCCAATGAATATATATTGTACCTGCTATGGTTACTGGGATGCGGCAGTGAATATTTATGTGTAATTTAACTTTTTGGAGCCCTTCCTCTGGAACAGTCCAGCATCCTATCCCCAGAACTAAAGTTATGTAACAAGGTAATATCAACAATGAGAAACTGCAGGATAAAATCCTGCCCAAAAGTGAAAAATGCTAATTTTGTCTCATTTAGCAGCTGGATACAGAAATGCTCATTAGTTTTAAGAGGGTTAATCCTTTTAACTTTTGCATATTGATATGCCAATTATGCCTAATTGTACAAGAGGCATCAGTCAAGGTAATAGTGCATAAACACATGAAAGTTATTAAGTACATCCCAACATGTAATAAAGTAGGTGTTAATTGGTAGCTGAGTTCTGCAGGCTATTGAGGTGGATAATTCATTGAGAGATGGATCACTTGTAATTTCTCTACATAATTCCTTTTGCAGTCTCATGCTGTGATGTTTTCATGCTTGTCAAAAACGACTGCAGCCTAGTGCCTTTTGTTAAACACAGCCAATAAAATATGTTAGGCATCATTAAATATACTTAACTTTTAAACTTTTTCAAAGATACAGTTCTTCCTGATAATACATTATAGTATTCCCAGTAAATTACTATAAGCATTGTTTCAGGTTTGCAATGGAGGAACATTTTACATCAGATAAAAAGGAAGAGACATACGCAGTGTGTCTGAGGCAAACAGTATAATTTAAATGTAAGGTATCTGAATATCTTATCAGCTGCTAAGATCTAAAGAGATTTTTCTTTCCAGAAATACAAAGTGAAATTAGTTAAGCTATATTACTATATCAGAGAAATTAATGACTAAAATAATGTATTTCTAAATAAATCTGAATTTTGAGTTTGACCTTTGAGTAAAAAGGAAAAAAATACAGCTGTTATTGCAGGTTTCCTCCGTTTAATAACTTTTTAGAAGCTGAATATTTCATAGGAATCCATTACATCAAGAAAACAAAAAATTAATGGTTGGCATGGTTGTGAGAAGTGACTGAGACCTGGGACTCTGTCCCCATCTAACAGTTTTCTCCCTCATTTGCATTCTCTGAGAGCAAAATGGATCCGGAGTCCAAAAAGTGGCTAACATTGCATAAATAATTTTGTAACATCATATGGCCTCAGCTGCAAGTTGCCACTATTATGGAAGAAAATTAACCAGGGGAGACTCATATCAATCAGTTTGTTTAGTAGCTCCGAAGGAGTACAGGGGCAGGGATGCAACTGGCAATAGAGTTCATCACTAACTAATTTCAGAAAAAAAAAAAAGAAAAAGAATGGTAATGGATAAAAAATTAGTCAACTCTTTCAACTCTGTCAACTATCACAATAATACAGTAACTTCAGTGTCTGACTTGTTACAATTACTTCATCTCTACAACAAGACTTATTTTTGTTATGGACAAAGTTGGCTTTTATTTACAGAGTTGCAATTTCCGTTTGTTTTTTTTTTTCTTTTGTCAGCTTTTAAATTTTGCCTTTTGAGAAATCATAACATGCATCTGATACTGTATGTACTATGCTCTACAGCAGCCATATTTAAGTACTGTAACACTTGAGAGCTGAAATGCTGAGTAGATGCTATGATCATGACCACCAAAGCCAAATTCATTCTTTCACTGAAGGATAATTATTATTCCTGGGCCAAGCCATACTCCTGAAAATGTATTAGTGTCAGTAAATCCCTCCTTGCAAGGGCTAATCACAAAACCAGTATCTTAACCATGAATAAGGTAATTCTGTAGTTTTCAAAATATCGGAAGACTCAGAAACTGTTAAGAGTATTTTACTTACAGGCTCAGGGACTTTCACATTCTCTGACAAAATCATAGATTTGCTTTGGCTCAGTCTATCATGGTGACTGTTGGCATTTTTGATCCTCATTTGAACAGTCCCCGTACTGTGGTGGGAAGGATTAGGCTTTTCAGAGGCTGTATCAAAAGCTGTAGACCTTTCCATGGTTACTGGATTGACCTGAAGAACATAAAATAAGAGTATTAATCTAGGAACCCTCCATGCAAAAATGTATCAATGCCAGCTATATGCCACTGTAGTCAGGAGAAGTTGAGTTATCTTGCTGGCAAGATCTTGATCTTCTTTGAACACCAGGATAACTATCAGCTGTGTCAGCCTGTAGTTTTATTATTGCCCTTATCACTCACCCATTCAAACTGCCTTGGAAGAGTTAGTTTATGTAAAATATTATCCTTATCTCAAAAGCCATTCTCGTCTATGGTGTAATCTCCCTGCAAGCCTCTTGTCACATCCAGCTGGCAGCCACTACATTTTGTCTTTGGCCCTGCTCACACTATACATTTTCAATCTTGCAAAGGAAAACAACATGCTGTGAAGTCAATTAACATAACTTACCTCCACAGTTCAATACATGCATGTTACAAGAGCATTGCAGGACCATGCTGCAACCCTGCTAGTGTCCTAGATTCAAACCCAGATCTAATAAAATTTCCCTTATTTTTTACATTCTGCCACCAACAGAGATGGGATTTTTATTTCTCTTGTTCATTTTTTAAATTTGGAAATTAAGAAATGGCTGAGCCCATTAGATCTCAAGCCGCTGGAGGAATAGGAGGAAACTCATAGAGAACGATCACCTTATTTAGCAGAGCTGATGTTCAACCTCCTGTGCCAGCCTTAGTGCAACTCGATAAACTACATTCTAACTATTTAAATCCTCAAAATGCTTTTTATCACAAGAGTTTCTTCATAGTTCTTGTACAAAACATCAGGACAGTGAAGTACAGCACTTTGCTTTCCTCACTCCCTTCAGCCCTTCACCCTGGCACTACTACGTGTAGGTTGTGGGAGAAGTAAGAGTCACAAGAAAACTTGCTATTTGTATTGCTGTGTAACTGTATGAGAAAATGGGTGAGGAAGAGATACTATATAAACTGGTTTCTCAATTATGAAGCCAGAGCAATAGAAATCCATTTAAGTGCAGTTATAATCTAAACTGTTGAAAATCAGCATTTTCCGAATGGGTTTGAAGACCACAACTTTTTATAGCAACATCTCCGCAGCCTCTGAAGACTCTAAAAGATTAAATTCTCTGATTTTAAGAATGTTAATTTCTATGAAAGCATTAGAGCAGAGGAAGATATGGTACCAGTGTGAAAGAAGACGAGGAGCACTACCGCATGTCTCTGGGCAGGATCATAGCATTATGCTGGTGGAAAGACTCAACCTTCCTGCCTTCACCCTCTCATGGCCCTGATAAATCAATTCCTTACAGAAAACTGCCTCAGATATAGAGAATGATAATGAGAAGTCATATGTAGTCACAAAATGGTTGAAGTTGAAAGAGACATCTGAAAGTCATCTGGTCCAAGTCTCCTGCTCAAGCAGAGCCACCTACAGATGGTTGCCCAGGGCTATGTCCAGAATGCTTTTGAACATCTTCAGGGGGATTTGAACTCATACAGTTAAATATATGGAAATACAAGGAAACACAGCACTCTTGAATAGAGAAATAAGAAGTGCTTCGATATTAGCCACTGCTCACTCAATATTATGAGGTGTGATAGAAACACTGATTTTAATAAAAGCAACAGTAAAACTTATGATCATGGCTGCCTCCCACATTGAATTAGTTACTCAAGGTTCCCTACAGAAATTAAATCACAGAAAAAAGAGGAAAAAAAATAGGCTAATTAGGCTATTTACATATATGTCCTGGTGCTCAGGATTATGCATGTCTGTTTTTCCTGTGAGTTGGTATATGACACCAAGGAAAACTCTTTATGTGGACCTTTGGTAAACAACAGTGAGTGTTATCCCTCCCCAAGACACTTTTTACCACCCCTTAGAGAAGTCGCTGCTCAAACCCATGTCGCAGGGACACTTTGCCATTTTGGAAGTAAAGTCTGCAGCAGCTCCAAATAGGAAATGATTTTTTTTCCTCATTCTAAACTTGGAGAGTCAACCCATTTCATATTTCATGTTGGTATCAAATCAAATTTGCTTCTCAACAGATTTTCAGTAGGCTCCAGGCTGGAGAGCTGATCAGACTTGAGAGACAAGAGCGACACTAGCTCTGTCACCAATCCAATGTTTGGCTGGAGCATATCTCTCAGATTTTCTTCTGAAATTTCCCACCTATAAGACTCTGCCATATCTCTTCTTGGGAGCATTATGAGTTTTAATTAGGTAGTCTCTGCCTGGTGTTATTAGCACATGAAGTGATGTAACAAAGTTTAATAGTATGACAAAGTCATGCCATGGATCTCAAATAGGAACACAGTCAGTAAATGACAAGTCTGCAAAGACTTCTGAAAACGTTTATTCTAGTCTCGTTGAACCTTGGTTAATTTTCCCCAAACCTGGAACTAATTCACACACATCAGAGTATAACAAGAAGACTGAGGCACCCAAGTTACAGGAACTGCCATGAAAGATAAAACCCCAAATCTCAACATTTTCACCATCAGATTTTATTTGTCTTAGTGTAGAGCATGGTGAGATCCTGCAAAATATTGCAGGACATGAAGGAAAGGTACAAGTTACAGAAGTTTCTCCCTTAGGATTTCCAGGTAGGGAGCCTTTGCTGCTCAAACTCCATTGACTCCTGACAGCGCTACGGACCCTGCGTGCCAGTAGATGGCACCCTGAATATGAGCTCCACGGATGCAACAGGGGTTGCACTCACATTTGCAAGAAGAATTTGGTTTACACTTGCATTCTGCTTTTCTTTCTTTTTCTTTTTTTGTTAAGCTTTTTTTTAAAAAAAAAAAAAAAGAAGGGAAGACAGTCAGGAAACAGTTAAAATATTAACAGAAAAAGGATCTTATCTGATGATTTTACAATTTCATGCTTCCAAACTGTTAGAAGCATCAGGACCAAGTTTCAGCTGGTTTTGCAGGGGATTTCATTCCACTTACTTTGGAAAGCAGAGATGCCAAGTCCTGTGAAACTGCTTCTGAGGCACCCTGTGTTCATTATACAACTGGTTAACATGTCTTTTGGCAAATAGTTAGCATCTGGATATAAATTTTAGTTTTGAAACTTTCTACGGTTGATTTGCTGGAGAAAGGCATTAAACCAAGACAAAATTTACCTCCCTCCCCTCTCTGTTGTTTGTAAGGCCTCTGGGGCAAAGAAGCAGCATAACTTTAAGATATTCACGTAGAAGTAGAGGGACAAGGAAACATCCTGAAAAATCCTCTTGGAAGTACCTGTATTGGGTCATTGTGGAACAGAACTGACAGGCTGGATAAGTACAGCACGGATACAAGAAAAACCCTTGACATGAAGATGGATGAACGACACAGGAAAGGAAAACTGATTCATATGGTGGGTAAAAAGGTTACATTGGATACGAGAAAGGAAAACTTTAATTTCTCGAGAGTGGATAGATCATCTTACTTATGGGGCAAGAAACACTACTGAGCTCTAGGGACAAAATCATCTTTCTGTCTGGGATAGTAAAACCAATTCAGTCCTATGCAGCCAGCTGCTTTTGGAGATACCCTAAGGAGTTCAAAAGCCCTCACTGAAGGGAGAAGCAGTTCATATGTCAAATGAAATTTGCAACTTCAGTGGTCAACACCTTGCCCAGAAATCAGTACATGTTTGTGATGCTCACAGAGGAGGACAAGCCTGCTGCAGCAAGTAGCACAGCATCCCAATGGTGAATCAGGTTGCACTGAAGCCAGTGTTCAGAGGCCAAGTACAGGTGTGAGATGGCTGCTAACTAGTCAAGTGACATTTGACATATATGGTTGTTCAGTGGTTAAGATCCTAAAACCCTGATTTCTATATGTACAGTTGACTTTCAAACACGCAGTGTGAAAGTAATGAATAGTACAGAGATGAAAAACTGAACATTTTTATATGCAAATCGGTACACACAGTAAAGCCATCCCATTTCTGAGAATCAATCCCAGGTTAAAAGGGTAACATAGCAAATTACAGAGATCAGACCTCAATCTTCCTCACAAAGTGCTGAGTCGTGGTAAAACAATCTTCAAGAGCATTTTCTGTTATATTTCTTTTAAAAACAGTTCTTTCACAAAAACTTAATGTGATAACAGTGAAAATATTTGAAGTATTTCTTACTTTCTGTTGATGAGGAAAAATTCTTTTCTGCCTTTTCTCTTCAAAAAGATAAAGGAAATAATAAAGGAGTTAAAGTAACATTGTTAACTTCCCAAAGAAAACTACAACAGAGCAAAACAAAACCTTCCTTTTTCTACTTGTATTTTCCCTGAAAAAAAAAAAAACACATATTTTTTAGCTTTCTGAAAAAATTAAGGAAGTGAATTGTTCACCTCACAGCTATTCTGACGTCTTTGGGAGCTTAATTATGGTTTCTGTCTCACAATGATAGCCAGATAAGTGCTCCCTCTTACAGAAGCTCGTGGGTTTAAATGAAGTTTCATAGTGCAGTTATCAGATTTTCGTCTATATTGACATGCTGCTTTGTCCAGGTGTTCACCATATAGTGAGTGGACTGAACAGCATTACCCAAGAACTTCATTTCATCACTTTTGGTACAGTATCCATAAAGTTAGCACATAGGTTTTCAGCAAAGCAAAGTGCTAGTTCTTAAAGAAACAAGAGGTATCAGTATTTCTAAATTTTGTTTTGAGCTATGCCTACATTTCCTATAGCTTCATACAGCAAAAGACAAAATGTAACTGTTAATTCATTAGCAACTTGTACCAAGTAGTTGTAACAAGTACTTTTATCTAAGAAAGAGAAAAAAATATCTATCCATGATTAATTCAGCTCTGGGATGCCCAATAAAAGAGGAATGTGGTCCAGTTGGAGCAAGTCCAGAGGAGGGCCACAAAGATGCCCAGAGAACTGAAGCAAGTCTTCTGTGAAGACAGGCTGAAGAGCACTGTGTTTGTTCAGTCTGGAGAAGAATGACCTCAAAGTGGGACTCCTCCCAGGGGTCAACAGGAAAGCTGGAGAGGGGTGTTTTAAAAGGGCCTGTATGGATAAGACAAGGGGGA